TGTATGCTGGTCTTGTTGTATTCGGGTCTTTTCCCGTGTAAGATTGAGATTGTCTTGGCAACGTTTCAGCGAGGTCTCACTTGCCATCTTTGCTGTGTGTCCATTGTTGTTTCGTGTTGTAACAGCCTGGGTGGTGGGTGGGGCTCCAATCATGATACAACCACACAACCAATCATTCCACTTACTGAAACAAAGCCAGTAGTCCACACCCTCCCACCAAGATTTATAGAAAGACGGCAGCTCCAATCACACTTTAAGCCCAAAACCCAGCCTGAAGATGGCAAGTGAGACCTCGCTGAAACGTTGCCAAGACAATCTCAATCTTACACGGGAAAAGACCCGAATACAACAAGACCAGCATATCTCCCTCAGAGGAATGTTGTTCTATACTAAACAACAGCAGTAGATCTTTATTTATTATAGATCTTTATCTGACTCAATCTTAGATGGCTTGACAGAAATATCAAGTTTTCACTAAAGGTGGGGCAAGAGGGAGGCAATTGTACATGATGGGAGGGATGACTATTCCAGAGAAGGGGAAGTTACTGGAAAAGTATATTTATAAGGCTCCTAAAGGTGAAAAGTCTTTAACTGAGTGAATGAGTGTATTGTGTAGGCAAACATTACGGCGAGAAGGCAGTCCTGCAGATAACATGCTCTGAACTGCGAAGGGCTTCTGGACCATCTGCAGCTTCTGAATGTTCTTCAAGGGAAGCCCCACATAGAGCTTATTATAAATAGACAGGAAATCACTCCTGCCATTCCAGGAAAAGTAGCAATTGGCACACTAGATGGAAGCAAATTCTTTATTAACCTTGGCTATCCCTAGTTCCTAAAACAGGACCCGGTAGTCCAATCCTCAAATTGCAAAGGAGTTCTACTCAGTGGAGTGCAATTCTATTTAAAATTAAGGATATAGTTTTACTGGAAAGTGCCAGAAATATGCAGATGATGGGTCTAGGGCTTGATCTCCCTGTCATCCTGACTAAAAACATCATTTTAAAAACCACCATCACATAATGCCCTTCCCCCACTAATAAACCTCAAGATAGTTCAGCAGGATACGGTACTACTGAAATCTGCTTTTGAGACCAAGAAGGATGGTTGCATTACTCTTATTTCTTATCTCAGTTCTGCCAGAGATTATTAAAACACAATTAATTTTTAATTGTGCTGAAACTAGACAGAAACTGGGCTGTGCTGGAACTAAGCAAAAACTGGGCTAAAACAGATCCAGATAATCTGTTCCAGCCTAACCAATTTCTCCATAACCTTCCCCAAGAAGGAGAAGTTGTAGATAGATTGACAATCATCCAGTAAAATGGGGCCAAGCAATGATTTCTTAAGGAGAGGGTGCATCGTCACCTCTTTTGAAGTACACAATAACATACCCTCTCTCAAGGATGCATTTTATCATTTCCTTTAGTGAACTTTCCATAATCTTCTTGGCAGTTTTCACCAACTAGAAGGGACACACGTCCAGACTAAAGGTAGTCACACGCAGAATCAAATTCATCTCAGATAACACCCAATGATTCACTAATCTCCTCTGAAGCTGCTCAGCTGGCATCAAGCTCCAAGTGAATCTAAACAACTATATGTCCTTCAGATGCCTAAAATAATGTTCATAGTGGCCCCTTGCATGATCATCCTCGTTTTTATTCAGTTGAATTTTTGTCACTTTGGAAAGAGCTGCTGATTAGCAGTTTGTGGATGCAATAAGAGAGCAAAGAAATGTCAAAATTTTGCCTTTCTCATCACTATGGTGTAGACCTGGATATGGGCTCTTACCCATGCTTGCTCATATTCTCTTTTTTGTTTTGCTCCAGTAGTACACTAGATTTTTTTTTAGTTTGTTTCATTTCATGGAACTCCTCAAAAAAGCAAGAACCTCCTCCTGCCCTTCAAGTCTGAAAATGCAATTTTGTTCAAGTACACTGCCACTTCCCTATTTCAGCAGGAAGTTCAGGCCTTGGCTTCTGAAGCACCCTCTAGAAACTATATAGTTCTATTAGCTCCCTCAGTCAGACTAATCAAATTTGCAAAAAATTGTATTTTTAGTCTTTTATAGCACTGTGCTATGCATGCCTAAACAGAATTATGTCTTACAGAGCTCAACAAGACTTAATCTTGCACCTGTTGAGCTGCTTTACAAGGTCTACTTTTATATCATAAAGCTGCAAATATTCAAAATTTTCAGTTGTTATTGTTTTTGCCAACATTCAAATTGCTTAACATTTGCTTTGAGGATAGCAATAATTCTATAAGCTGTTATATATATCTAAAAGTTCCACAATATATTTAGCATAAAAACAATGTTAATGTGTTAGGAAGAATTAGAACCTTAAATTCATTTTCCTTGTCTTTGGAGCCCTTGTGAAAAGGCCTGTCATAGCGGAATTTCCTGATGTTGTTAACTCGATAAAAACTCTTTATGCGATCAGGGACACGATCCATATGTAGTACATCAATATTGTCTGGAATTGGAGTCACTGCATAGATTTGCAAGTCTGTAATAAGAGTCCAGTCAAAGAAAAAAAAACTACACACAATACAAATGACTATAGATTAGCCTTATACACTGCATAATAACATTACAGATGACACACACCTGAATCTCATATAGCATAGAAACTACAATGTGAATCTGTGCAATTTTAGCAACTATGGCATCCTATGATATTAATTTGCTAACATCATATAGTTCTGAGCCTGTTCCTCCAAATGAAAGCATTGAAAGTGAGATGACATGTACTTTCAGTTTTATTTCCTTCCCACTTCTTCTTGCATCTTGATCTGTTATAAAATACTATTGGATGAGCATTTTTAAAAAGTGATACATTTTAAAAAGGAAACTTTGTTCAATAATTTTCCATTTCTGTCATGTTCTTAAAAGCTCTTCTGAGCCTTAACTTGTTTTAAATTTAGCACTAACAAAACAATACTCATTTTCCCTTTTTCAATATTTTTCATTAGGAAACCACAATTTAAATCAACATTATCACAGAATTTAATCTATTTTTTATCTGGACATCTAAGCATACACGTTCATTTCAAGTTTGCAAAGGGATTTGTAACAGAACTTTGTATTAGAATTTGCATTAAAACTTTGGTGTTTATTTCGCTGTGCTGTATACATTTTCTGTTTTTATTTCTCTGTAAAATAATTATGATATTTCAGCCATTTATGCCTGTTTTAGATTATGCATTATTTAATTTCTGGTTTGAACTTTTTGTGATCTGAATTAAAAACTGCAATTCTTCCTCAATCTCTTTACAGTCAATTCTTTTCATTTCATCAAAGTTTAAGATCACATTTAGTTTTCATTTCAATTTATTAAATTTGGTTCCAAATTTTGCTTAACAACAACACTATCCAATAAATTCACAATCAAGGCCTCCCTCCCTAATATGGTACTTTGGGAACATGTTTATTTGGGCATTTTAATTTTTTTTAACAGTTAAACATCTCAACTGACATTTCTTGATTTTGCTTCACAGGAAAAGGGGAAATATGCAAAACACTTTTTCTAAAATGTTTTAAGGTGAGGATGTTAGAATAAAAATGTTCTAAAAGTAAAAACAAAAATCTTGCCAGGAAATTACAGAATATAATTTTATGAGGTTAAGAAAAATTAACATCTATGATAATCATCCAATGAATATCAAAGCTCCATTTCACAAATCTGACAGTGCATGCTACATTCTGTTTTTAAGCATCCCCCCTCCCCGCATTGTATTTAAGTTTTAACTGTTTGTAAGCAGACAATGAAAAATATTAAAATTACTATAACTGTGTTTTAATTCTGAAATATTTTTAATTTTGCGATAACTTTGGTAACTTCATTCTAAAACATTCTAATCAAGGATACACTGGGCATCACACTGCAATATGCTATCATCTGGGTGATTTGGATGTTGCATTGCAATGGCTTGTGGAAATTCACTAAGCATTCTTTGTTGGAAGGTCTCTAATCTCTCGTAGTCATGGCCTCGACAAACATACTCTTTATTCTGTAAGGAGAAGAAAGCAACATAAAATTAAAATATCACTGAATCACCAAAGTTCCCTTAGCCTCTTTACTTTTATTTATCAACCAGACTAAAGGACAGTGGAATAAGACAGTTTAAACAATTTTATGAAGTGGAAAGAAGAAAGGGACAAACAATGCCTCCAGAGAAGGCATGTTTCAGAGTATGGTCCTAGTACAGGTAGCGCCCCGTAACGGACCCTTCCTATTATGGTCATAATATTAAGTGAATAATGTTAAATGAATGAACCCCTATCCCTGCTCTTAAATCTTGCCTACACATGCTTCCATCCTCTTTGGGAAAGCCTTTTTTCATGAAAGATGGAGACCTGCAGGGACGCAAGTCTATCGTGCTCCTGCAGGCTTCTGCCCTCTTTGAAAAAGCCTTTTTGCGCGAAGGACAGAATTGTATGTAAGAACACAAGATTTATCTTGATGTCTGTAGAAACAGAAGCATTTCCAAAGAGGAAAATAGATCCCTGAAAGCCTCCATCCTGAGCAAAAATGCTTTTCTAAAGAGGATGGAAATATGTGTAAGAACACGAGATCAAAGGAAAACAGCTTTGCCAGTGTCTGGAAAAAAAGGCCACTTTACTGCCATATGGCCCAGCCTGTTCTCCTTTCCTACCCCAACATCTTAAGATTTAGAGATCTTCAAAAGGTGAGTTATCATTGACAGGGTGGGAGAAGCACATGGAATCCGGTGGGCTAGCAAAGCAGACCCAGTGCCTATGGGGACTAAGCAGGATTAGGGTGTGTCATAACTTTGAATTGTCACTAAGTGAATTGTCATAACATGAGGATTTACCTGTAGTGAGAAGTTGTGCAATGTCGTCCACAGTGGACATTTGATATAGTGCAGGCACAGAATTCTTAGTAGAACCTCTTTAGATGTTCAAACCAGATAAGAAGATTCAATTTTAGTAACCTAGTACCTGATGTATTCCAGTGCTATTTAATATAAGTGACAATTAGGACTTTGAAACTCACTAATGATCATGACTAATTTTAGATTTGGTGTATTCTGAGGTGCCAGACTGCTAGATTTGTACCAGTAGCATCTTTTGAGTTATCTTGGGAGGCAGCCCCATGTTTAATAATTCACGGTAATCCAATTTCATGGTGGTTAAGACATGAGCTACCACTATCAGAGCATATTAGTATAGGTGATGACATAACTGGCAAATCTGTTACAACTGGGCAAAGGCCAAGCAAAGGACACCGATCATCAATCAACTCTTTTAGAGGAAGAAAAATTCCATCCAAGATAACGGCAAAGACTAATGTTTCCAAATTTCCTGAATATTTATAAATACAACTCAACCCAGGTAGTATATTGTCTGGGCTTATTTCACTCCATCTAGTTTTTAACAGCTTCCAAACCCTAGTTCAAACTTTCTACAACCTAGGATAGTAATATATAAATGTATGTCATTAATTCTACTACTCATAGAATCATAGTATCATAGGATTGGAAAGGACTTTGGAAGTTTTCATGTCCTTGTCCTGGATAGAAATCTTCACAGCATCCCAGACAAATGGCTACTCAAACCCTGAATCCAGAACTGAAGTCAAATAGACTGTTCCATTGCTTAATAGTTCTGATGACATCTTACTGTAGACCGATGGTAGTGATCACTGATAGTGCCTTTCATTTGCATGATAAATAATTACTGGGGAGAGCAGTGTACCATGTGGAGCCTTTAACAAGAAACTGGTTTGATTATGGCAAAGAAAAGGTATCAGATGTATTTTCAGATCACATTTTATCTTTTCCAAATTAAAGGCCATCTCTAGCATGTGTCTTCCCACATTTATTGTGACCACTATTACTTGTGACACTTCCATGGTTGTCATTGTGGTTATCAGGTCATAAATGATACTGGAACTCTCATTTAGTAAAATCCATCTGAAGATTTTATAGAATAATAAAATCATGCAGTTGGATGGAATGCTTAGACCATCCAATGCAAACTACAATTTAACACAGGAATAAAAAACATTCTTGACAAATGTCTTCCACTCTGCTTGAAGAGTTCCAGTAAAAGTGAACTCACAATCTCCTAGACAAATAGTCCCATAGTTTACCTGCTGTTACAGTTAGCATTTTTTCTAATATTCAAAAAAATTCTTGGAATTTAAATTCATTATTTTGTATCCTGCATTCTGGGCCAATAGAAAACAAGTCAAGATTTACTTCTTGTGACGATATATATTAATTTAATTTATTATGTGCCATCAAGCTGTTTCTGACTCCCAGCAACCATAGATTTTTTTCCCCAAGATGATACTTAATCTGTTCTTTTATATCTCCCAAAGGTGCATGTATCACATCTATAAATAACTCCATCCACCTTGCTGCTGATCATCCTCTTCTCTTTTCTTCTGCTTTTCTTAGAATTAGATCCTATAGCAGAGACTTGAGTCTTCACATAATGTGTTTGAAGTAGAGTAATTTGAGTCTAGTTACTTGTATCTTGAATGAGAATTATGATTTGATTTGATTTGTTCAATGATCCATCAGTTTGTTTTCTAGGCTATCAAAAATATTCTCAGCAACCTTTTCCAACATCAAAATTCAAAAACATCAATACTCTCCCTATCTTGCTTTTTCAAAGTTCAACTTTCACCTCCATGGAATGTATCAGGGAATACACTATCTTGCATGATTCTGATCTTTGTAGGTATAGACATATCAAGGCATTTGAATATCGTTTCCTAGGTTTTCATGGCTGTTCTACCAAGAGCTAGTATGCAGCGTATTTCCTGTTCCTTTACTGTTGATAGTTGATTCTAAAAGATAGGAGCCATTAATCATTTCACCAATTCTATTGTCAATTTTAAAGCTGATTGTTAGGCCATTCAGTGATGATATGGGGATCAAGATATCCCTGAAGCTATGTGGATGGCATTATGGCTGAAATTAGTGGCCATGGGATGGATTTTGGCCAGTGAAATCTCTTTGGAGAAAAGAGATATTTGGGGATTGACCACATAGACTGCGGACAGCCACTCTTCATGAGTAAATTGCAAGAATTTTTGCAACTGGGTGATGAGCAGAGAGATCCACTCTATCCACAACTGTGATATAGTCTGTGTGGCTATATCACAGCTTGGCTGATTTCCTAATAACTTTCAGAATGACTTCTTTACTCTTTTTTAAATATTAAGAACTTTCAGAGCACATGTTTGGTGGCATTCACTGGGATTCCTTCAATCTTTTAAGAAATTTTAATTGGAGCTTGAAATATTTCACAATTTGGGCAAACGAATAGGAAAAAAGGGGATTCGAGTTTTTTTTTTTAAGGAAAGATATAAATGGACTAAGGGTCTAGATCAGACTTGGGCATTTTAAAGCCCCAACCCACATCCAGCCCTTTGGCTGTCCCTGTCCAACCATGTGAGATCAACTGGAAATTACAACTCAAATGTAATTAAGTGTATACCATGCATGCAACACAATTGCATTGCTTTTATTTTGAAGCATACTATTTTTAAAATCAATTTACATATATGTCTGCATGCATGCCTACTACTTTCACAGCCCAGTTGGTTTGGCCCTCCACAACACTTCCAGTTTCTCATGTGGCCCCTTGAGAAAATTAATTGCACATCTTAGATGGACCTTAAATAGTTTTATTTTTGAAATTAATTGAATAAATCAACTCTATGAGAAAATGACCTATGTTTTGAATTCTAAAAAACCAAACACGATAGTATGGGATTTTGAAGGCTGGACACTAGAGGGAGCTAAAACAAAGTAAAGATTACAATTAAAGAAGGAAAATTATTTGACTTGTCAATACAGAACTGAGGCAAATACCTTATAACACTAAATGTACTGAAGGATATATGAACAATTGAGTCATAAATTAATTTTAAATATGTCTGCCATCAGACAATTTCTAATAAGTTTTATCAGATAAGACCGAAGTAGAACTGAATGTGGATTTTTAAAATGAAGGACTACAAGAATGATCTGGAAAAAGATAAAATATTGAATTTACAAATGAAACTAGCTGACATTTTAATAATTAAAAAGGACATACAAACATCTAACATGGAGTGATTTGGATAGTTTTCTTATATTGGATTTACAAGAGACATCTATTAAAACTTTTTAAAAACTTGATGAGAAGAGACAAAGGAAAAAAAGAAATTAAGTTTTAGGATATTATTTGAAGGGATAAAATATCAAGATTGTTAAAAGTAAAGGGAATGAATATAAAGTTGATTTATTTGATCAAGGTTAAAACATAAGTTATTTCTGATAATGCTTAATACAATTTTAATGACTAGGACTGAATGACAAAGTTTTAAGAATTTGTTTATAGATAAGTAATGTGATATGGCATGAAGAAATTGTATTTTAAGAGAAGTGATGATTGTGGAGACAAAGAGAGAAGTTGCTTCTTTATATTTCTTTTTTGGTTATAGTGGCATTTTTCTTTCTTCCATAGTCTTTCTTTATATGCTTCTTTTTTCTTTTCTGCACTTTGTATTTTTTTCTCTTTTTATAACTTGTATTAGTTTTTATCTGCACAACCGTTAGAAAAATTCTAGCTGGTTGTTTTACCAGTTGTCATTAATTTGGTTTTTCTTATATTTAATTTTAATCCCTTTTTCACTATGGTTTAAAAAAAAACTTTTAGTAAGGCTTGTAGTTCGTTTGTATTTTCAGTTTTCAGAGTAATATCATCAGCATAGCACAAATTATTATGTTTCTTCCTCAAATTTTAAAACCATCCTTCCAATCTAGCTTCCCTTAATATATAGATTGAATAAAAAAAGAGGGTGAGCCTGTGTAGCCCTGTTGCACTCCTTTACCAACCTGGCTCCTGTGTTTTATCATCCTCTCTTATACTGTGGCTTTCTGACTTTTATAAAAGTTTGTCATAAGGAAAATGAGATGTTCTGAAGTTCTGAGCACATTCCACAGCTTGACATGTAATTTAATTTAATTTATTAAATTCTTTTAATAAGTGCAATAAAGCTTATTTATCTAAGAGCTACATCCTTGAAACTCTGCTTGCTAGCCTTCATGTTTGAGTATCACTCTGGGTGACAATCACAAACAACTTCAAAATCTGTTACTTCTTCCAGAATGCAGGACACAGAGTAAAGAATGTAAGTTAAAAGAAGGCAATTAATTTTAGGAATTAATTCCCAATTAATATTAGGAAAAACTTCATACCTGTAAGAGCAATTTGATCAGGTACCAATTAACCAGAGAGGTAGTGGGCTTTCACTGGATCTGTTCAACTAGAAGCTAGACATTCATTTGTCTGGGATTCTTCATCTTGGATTCCTATACTGAGTGGGGGGTGGGAAATTAGAATTCATATCCTAAAAGTTCTTTCAAACTGATTCTATACTTCTGTGAATCTAAGTCTCGTTTGAATTAATACTACTAGGTTTAATCTATTAAACTGTAGAATGACTTTTTTGAAATTTCAAACACAGATTTATTGTACATACAATATTTTACATGAAAAAAAACTCAATGATGTTTGTAAAGAATGAAAAAGCCAGTAGGAATGCATATACATTCCAGCTACAAAACTACATTAAATGTTAAAATTTCCAAAATAGGGACAATAACCAGACTGGCAGAAACAACACTAATATTTTGGATGAATCAATCAATTGTATAATTTTCTAGATAAATTCATATTTCAAAAGAGAACAATTTTAATTTCCTTCAAATACACAAATCATCTTCATTATAAATTGCACTGCATTCATGCAGTAATGGATGTGTTAAATCTACTTACACGAAGGAAGAAAGGAAATTTTCTTCCATAAAAGCCAACTCTGAAAAATTCAGGTTCCAACCGTTGTTGTTCCATTATATTGTCATAATAGTTGGCTTCCATTTTCTAAAGATAGAAAATATATATATATATACTGAACTGAAATAATGCTCTACTTTTAGGAGAAAAATGCTGACAGCATTCTTGAATGGGACAACTTGCCACATCCAACTTGCTGCGACCGTCTCATCGCTACCAACTTGCTGCGACCATTTTGCCATGGCTAACTCACCATGGCCATTTTGACAAAAACACAAATAATGTTGAAGAAATAGTGGTGGATAACATTTGTCACCTTGAGGTATCCTGAGTGGAATTGTCCCACAGTGAGTTGTCTCGTGGTGAGTTGGCCGCAATGAGTTATCCTGTGGCAAGTTGGTCATAGTAAGATGGCTGCAGTGAGTTGACTGTGGTGAGTTGTCGTAGACCTAATGTAGTAACACTATGATATCTGACACCATTAACAAATTGTTTTTGAAATTTTAAGGTATCATACGATTATAAAACACATATTCAAGATAATTTTACAGAGAACTCAATTTTTCATAGGGAGGATTTTATACATAAGTATTTTTAATATTTGTGTAGAATACAATAATTATTTTTACACTGTACTTTCTATGCAAGCTTAAAGTTATAAGAACTCAAGGAACAGTTAACAATAGACAATTTTGGCAAAATTGAGTTCATCGGGTCATGAAGGTTCAGAAGTGATTGAATGTCTGAGCAACTTTTAGTATAAAGCATATATACTGATTATTGATTAAACAAAGTGTTATGAAAAATTCTCAAAGATTAAAATCAAAATCAAAACTGATTCCTCACATAGACTTGCAATATATGTAGAAATACATAAACATATGTACACCTTTGAAAATATTCTTTTTATTTTTATCTTCAATGAATTTTAAAAAGAGCAGCCTGCAGGGTAAACAGTGTTGATTTGAGGATGTAAAAATATAATTATTTTCAGTTGTATAATATTAAATTCAAATCACAGTTATTTCCATTTGAATAACTATACCAGATATAGACTGAATGCATGGATTTCTATATTCATTTTAGTAAAATATAGATTTTTGCCAAAGAATCTGAATGATAAAGAGATCTCAAATTTAGAAAAATATGGGAAATCTATTTTGGATGCCATAATCTACAGTACATTCAATGAACTAAATAAGGGGAAAGAGTTACAAAAGTTGGGCTAACATTCTGATTAGATGATGTTTAAAGTTCAGAAGTGAGTAATATTTGATTTTTTTTAGTAGCTGCTTTTCTGCCAAGGTGGCGCAGTGGTTAAATGCAGCACTGCAGGCTACTGCTAGATCAGCAGGTCAGCGGTTCAAATCTCACCGGCTCAGGGTTGACTCAGCCTTCCATCCTTCCGAGGTGGGTAAAATGAGGACCCAGATTGTTGGGGGCAATATGCTGACTCTCTGTAAACCGCTTAGAGAGGGCTGAAAGCCCTATGAAGCGGTATATAAGTCTACTGCTATTGCTATTGCTATTTTTAACTAAAACTTAGTAAATGCATTCTAATATACACAGTAAAAGTATATTACAAAATTTTTTTTTTTTACTTGCTAAGAATGGTACAGGTAATCCTTGAGTTATGATGACAACCATAATTTTTATTGTTCAGTGACGGAGTTATAAAATGCAACATCACATTTAGCAACAACAATCCCTGCTGTTGTTAAGTGAGGATTTGAGTCATTAAGAAAGTGACTACTTGCAACTTCCTATGGTTTCCAACAACCAAAGTCAATGGGGAAGCTGAAATTGGTCTTGCAAGTTGCAAGTCCCAAGTGGCTTACAAGAAAGACAGCAAGCAAGTAAGTGACTGCTGCCAGGTGGGAGAGGGAGCAAGAAGATGTGTGGGTACCCAGGGAAATACAGCATGAGTATGATGGGGCTTGGGGTGGCAGTAGGGGGGATGTCCATGTGGTTGCTGAGGCACAGCATATCAGCGAGAACAAAGGTACTGGGGTAAGGTGTGTGAATAGTAAGACTTATTTGAGCAACTTGCAGCCTTCCCATCTGGCTTCCACATTGACTTTGCTTATGGGAAGCCCACAGGGAAGGTTGCAAATCACAATGACATGGTGCTGCAACCATTGTAAGTGCAAGCTGGTTGCCAAGCACTCAGATCATGTAACTGCAAGGTGCTGGGATGGCTGATACTCTGAAGACCAGTCATAGCCACCACTTGTTAAGCACCAATGTAACTTTGATCATGAACAAGTAGTATTAACCAAGGACTGTCTGTATATTTCCAATTGGCAGAATATTACGTCCTGCAGGAAAGTTGAATATCACTCACCCGAATCCAACTGAGACTTTGATAATCATATAATGTTTCATACTGAGTAGCCAGGTCTCTGCATAATGGGATTCCAAATTCCCAGCTCTAAAGGAAAGATTAAAAACTGAGATGAAATAGGATTTTTATACACAAAAAATATCTAATTAAAGTTAAGTGAGTAACCCTTAGTAATGTATTCCTATGATAAAGAATGGACACAAGAAAAACAAGTGAACATTTAACAATTCTTAATGAGCTCCTTTATTATTTGTTAGCCGGTCAAAAATATAGGCTCTGGGGTTTCTCTGCTTTGGCCAACAGAAAGATTAGCTGAGTTGGACAAAAGATACCATCCCAAATTAAAAAATTGTTTATCAAAACAATAACTAACTCTGAATAACAGCAGATACTAAAGTATAGGCTGTTAAAGATACTAAAGAATTGTTGTATTGAGTAGGCTCAATATGACAATTCTGCAAAAAGTATAGGAAAGAATGCACAAATGACTCTAAATGTTTAAATAGCACTTTCCATCATTAAAACAGTTGCATTGTTAAAACATTTGCACTTTTTTTCAAGATGGCATGACTGCTTCATAAACTATTCTTAATAGGCTATTAATGAGTGTTTTGCTTGTGAAAAATAATTATAGTTGTGCATGTACATTTATGCGTGGAAATATATAATTAAATATGGAACGAATTTAGACAAAATACAATATATTAAAACATGGTAGTTATATTAATATATTAGAAATATGTC